ATAAGAGACATAAATAGGTACATGCAAAACCTAACTTAAACTAACCTAACCTAACTTATAATATGAATGTTAATCGACGCCTCAAATGATTTTTTTTTATCCTATTCGATTTAATATCCAGTGAATTAGAGCCTTTTTTTCCAACCTTGGGGGTGCACCCCCCAAGGGGGCGTTTGATATTCCTAGGGAGGGGGGGGGGGAGGCGTGATGTAGTCAACGGTTAACATATTCCATTCAAATATATATTCCTAAAGATATAAATGGATAATTAGCTTCATAAGGGAAAACTTGACATCTGTCATCTTAGCATGTATTGAGAGTTACTGTACCTTTTTCTTCCACATACCTTTGTGAGGCAGGCTTCTCAACACTTGTTGCTGTAGAGACAAAGAGTAGAAATAGGCTGAATGTTGAGAATGACATGCAGTGTGCTCCTTCTTCAACTGCACCAAGAATTCAGATGACCGTGGATAAAAGACAATGCCAACCTTCCCACTGATTACAACTAGATGTTTACCACCATCCTGGCACCGCAAAATAACACTAGTTTCTTCAGGGGAAAAATTATAATGCACATTATGTACTGTAGATGTACATAAAACACATTTTCTTGGAAATTGGTAACGAGCAGGATGATTGTTCGCCGCCCACTTGCTTGTTCGCGTCCCCCACTTGGAGGTGAGAACATGACTGCCGCCTCGACACAGAGATCAGGCACTACCCAGTTAGCACCACAGCTGCACCTCCCCGCTGCTAGTCCAAATTCTGGTTGTGTTCTCATCTGAGGCTCTGGACTCATGGGCTGTTGACACAGACCTTCACAAATCGAGTCAATTTCCGGACACCTACCCCGGCTACTACCCCGGATGCCACGTCATCGCCACTTCCTCCACCATCTGTGCCCTGGTGATTCTCCTGTGTAGCAAGACATCGGCCGCCGAGGCCAAGTGAGGAACTGACTTAACCTTCCCCCTGAGAGTGGATCACTGCTTTCCAGAACCTTCCCCAGGGTCGCTGCTGTAGGAAATATCTGTTCATTGTTTGACTCCAGTAATTGTTTGACTCCCGTAATTGTTTGATTCTCTTAATTATTTGATTCCATTACTTGTTGATTCCATTAATTATTTGATTCCAGTAATTGATTGATTCTCATAATTTTTTGACTCCGTAATTGTTATTTGTTGTTTGTTTGAGTGGTGTCAGAGTCTTGTGTTATTTTTATAGTAAAGAGATGTCAATTTCGAACGGTTGTTTGTAATCCCTCGGAAAACCATGGTTCTTGACTTTCCTTTTATAAGATCCTGATTAGACTGGCAAGGAATTTCTATCCCTAAGTCCCACGCCTTTACATGTGGCGACCTTGCCAGGATTGTCTCTGACCTTGGTTTCTGAGGGCTAACATTCGTTCCGGTGTTTAATGTAAGTCGCCGTGAGCGCGCCGCTTGCTATCTATGGCCCGGAAGTAAGTGATGTTTGGTGCTTATCCCTTCCTTCCGTTATGCTAATTTTGTTGCTCTCCCTTGTACTAGGGAAGTTAATTAGTGTTTGTTGGGGTGCACCGTGGATGCAGTCATAGCATTTTGTTGTTGTTTCACCTGGTGCAGTTCCCTGGGGTGATTCAACGGGACTGGGTGCGAAACAAGGTTTCCTCCAGCCGGATCGAATCATTTACTGGTTTGATTGGGCCACTAAGTAGTTACTTTTGGCTAGTTGTGGGGTAAATTGTTAATTTGTCACTTTTGCTCTTGGCCTTTCGGATCATTATGTCTAGTTTTGAGGAATTGAAAGGTCAAGCGGTGGCCCTGGGTCTGACAGGTACTGAGGTTGGTCAGTATGTGATCACCCTACAGAATGCCGAGAGAGATGAATGCAACAGAGAGAGAGAGGCACGTAACAGAGAGAGACAGAGAGAGAGAGAGAGAGAGAGACAGAGACAGAGAGAAAAAGAGAGAGAGAGAGAGGAACGTCAGAAAGAGAGAGAGATAGAGAAACGCAGCAGTGAGAGAGAGAGAGAGATAGAGAGAGAGAGAGAGAGAGAGAGAGAGAAGAACGCAGCACTCGGAGAGGAACGTAACAACAAGAGAGAGGAACGTAGTAGAGAAAGAGAGTTCGAATTAGCTAAGTTGAAGGCAGAGAAGGACCTAGAACTAACTAGGATTAATGCTTCAAGTAGACCAGAATCCTCTGGCACTCTACAAGATAATGTGGTAAAATATAGTCTGCCTTTGTATCGTGAAGAAGACATCGCCTCCTACCGCGTTAGGTTTGAAAGGGTAGCCGAGCTGCTTGGTGTGGACCCTGATGAAAGTAGATGCCCAAGTCTTCCCCTCCTGTAGTGAAGAACACGAAGCCTCCGTCCTCCGAGGAACCATCCCCAGGAGTAGAGAGGAGTATTTTACCGGCCGTGCGGGGTCACAACTGCGGAGAAGAAGGGCACATTCGTTCTCGCTTCTCTAGGAATCCCCGCGCCTTCAAATCTACTGACACTCACCAGCCCAGC